TCCTGCGCGCTGCTCAGCCCCTCCTGCTCGCTGCTCAGTCCCTCCTCCTGCGCGCTGCTCAGCCCCTCCTGCTCGCTGCTCAGTCCCTCCTCCTGAGCGCTGCTCAGCCCCTCCTCCTGCGCGGTGTCTCCAGGACAGGCCCCAGGACAGGATTGCTGCCCCCCTTGCCAGCACAAGCAGCTTTCTGATAATGGAAGAGTTAGGCAGCCTGTATACCACAGCACTCTGGGATATCGTATGACCAGCGCACTCCAGACAGCCGAGGCTCGGACTCTATAATCTAATATGCAACCGAAGAGCACTCAGATGTCACTTCCTGAGGTGCAGAGGCTCCAGTACAGGACTAGTCAAGCTGGGGGCTAAGGAGGCCAAACTGCACAACTCTGTTCCTGTTTTCTCCACAGAGAGAGGATGGGAATCAGTCCAGAGAGACCGGGTCCTTGGGATGCCATGGCAACCGAGGGCGTCAGTAAAACTGCCAGTGCAGGCACGATGCAGTTCTTAAAGAGGAAGATGAATGAGAGAGCTTTTTCACCAACAGTTTGATTTACCCAGTTCGACACAGACCTGCTTTTACTTTGCCCTAAAGCTTCTCGAACACCTCATTAAGAGACTGAAGCAGCATCTCTGTGATGCTTTCTGTTTTCCAGAAGACAATCTTTGCACAGCTGTGTGTCCTTTCAGTGATTCTTTTTAAACACCACATCAAGGACAGAAAACAGGATTTTACATCTGTGAAGCTCAGTCCAGAGCTGTGAAGCACTAAAGAGGGTCCCCAGAAGCTAGCTGCAGGTACCGTGTGCGCAGGGGTCAGAGTGGGGTCTTCTCAGCGGAAGATCGCCTCAGTCTAAAGCGTCAGCACTGCTGTGGAACAGGAGCCTTCCTCTGTCCTCTCTGGCTATGACTGCCGGAAGCTGTGCACGATTAATTACAGGATCGAGGCCTCCCTGCAAGCACATCGCCCACACAAACACAGTGCGGTAATGGAGACAACTCCAACCGGCCCACAACATCCTCGCAGTACAACAAAACCCCTTTCTACGATTAAAAAGAGCATACTGTGGCAGCATTATTCTCATTTCAGTTCATGAACAGGGACGGCACTTTAATTGTTCCGGCTGTGTGGTAGCCATACGAAACTCTTACTTCCCTGACCGAGACCTCATGCTTCCCAGAGCCTCTGAACAGACTGCTGACTGCAGGCTCAGCTCCCAGCCAGCTGCACGGCCAAACAGCTCCTCCGGCCAGCAGCCTTTCCTGTGCTCCTACGGCCACAGACTCGGCCGCCGGCTTCCCCACACACACCGTTGGCTCCTGTTGATGGATCTGATGGGGTGAGCAGGCCTCATCATTATCTGAACGCCTTCACTGAATATTTAGTAACAGAAGTTCTCACAATTGTCAAGAGGGATCCCAAGAAGCCCTTAGAGTTTAGAAAGTCAAGTTTTAACACCACTCAAAACCAGAGATCAAACAATAAGAGCACCACCAGGTTCCTATAACAAATAATTAAAAATCCGGTTGGACTCTATTCAAAATGACGCATGTGCGCGTCTGTTATCTCTTCAGAACACAGGAATAAGGTATACAAGGCTCTCAGTCCCTATATTTAGGTAGATCAATCTAAACGGCCCATTAAAAGTCAGGGCCTTTTCCGCGCCAACAAGAAACAGATTATTCTTCTGAAACATGAAATTCATGACACAGGGCCGATCATGACATCATTGATCCAAAATACGTCTTTTGGCTCAACGCGTTTCTAGACGTGCTGAAATACCCCAAAGCCTATAGACTATTCTTGCTAGGCGCTGCAGGCAAAAGCGACATTTAGGCATCGCTACATTAAAAATAAATAATGGCAACGGTACTGCGTACAATGAGAATGTAACAAGTGTTTCAAAAACACGATGACGCAGGCGGTACTTCGGGGTCCGGGAATGACAGAACCACGGGGGGTGGAAAAACCCGAACCCATCCCAAACCCACACGCAATCTTCCATCTTTCATCAGAAACCGTGTCAGCTTTAAAACCGGGGAATCGGTCAATGGCGATTCTGTCCTCCTGCAGAGGTCAGCTAAGACGGGACCCCCCGGAGCCGCTCCTCGCCGACTGCGATGTGTGGGGGTGCGGCGCCCGTGCGTACCTGACTTGGGGTAGGTGACGATCCATATGTCACTGTTCCGGAGGGAGAAGTTCGCGATCTCCTCCATCTTCCCCCGGCAGAAGGGAGGAAGGCGCACGCCATTGTACTCGAAGTATTTGCTCTCGAACTCTATCGGGGTGCTCGGGGTCTCCGCCTCGCTCTCCGCCATCCCGGTGCCTGCCGCGCCCGCGGAACCGAGGGGTTAACGGGTCAGAGTCGGTGGACGGGGACCGAACAGCGGGCGAGCAGCCTCCAGGATCTCCGACCTTCAGCGAATCAGGTGCGGGCGAAGTGATGTAATGGGACCCGCTCGCTGATGCTCCGGATGACGCCGCCGCCAGCCTGCTGTTCAGGCGCTCGGTTCGCTTAAGGGCGACTGATGAGGGTTCTGATTTGGTTTTTGTTTTCTTCTTCCTAACTTGTAGATTATTTTTTAAAGTTTTTATTTGAACACCAGAAATACGCCCCCCCCCACCTCCCAAAAAAAGAAGGAGACAATATTAAAATAGATACAGAAATAAACACTTCACGGCCAGAGGAATTCACAATTCTAAAAGCTAAAAATGAATCGTTTTTCATATTGCCATTGTGTCTTGCCCTTTGATTCTTTAAATTTCTAATATACTTTAAAAAAGAAATTAAAAGCATGAATAGAGGGAGCAGTATTAGACCATTTACTTCTGTGGGTGAAGTATTTAGCCTAAATAATTAACAGATTCATGATAAAAACATATCCTTTATCCAAATCAGATCTAACAAAATCTAAAATAATATCAAAATCTTTCAATTTAACATTTACCTTTAAATGTTTAAGAATAACGTCTATCCAAAACAGTTTTGTATATATGCAGTTAACAAGATTCCTTCTCATTATCACAAAATACACAGAAGTCGTCTTGTTCGTGTTCAAGTCTAGAAAGTGTCAATTTAACGGGATAAATTTTTTGAACGATTTTAAATGCGATTTATTTAACTTTATTTGTAAGACAATATCTATCATCAATTGTCCAAACTAATTTCCAGTTAATATTCCTAAACATAGTATTCCAAAAGGAGACACAAGGTATAAAATTCCTAATATAATTATGATTGCATTTTTTAATCTTTTATATCTACTCCATCCAAAACTAAATTATTAATATTATTATTATTATTATTATTATTATTATTATTATTATTATTATTATTATTATTATTATTATTATTATTATTATTATTATTATTGTTGTAAATGATCAGAGATATCGGAAGATACTCTGTTGGCATGGCCGAAACTACCTCCAGTCTCAGCACTTTCTCAGCAAGAGCATCAGAGACGGATCATCTTCGCGACAGCGCGGTTCCTGTGCGTTCGCGTCGTTGATTCTTTTATTATTTCTTTTCTTGGAGAGATTCTTACATCTCTCCGATCCATCCAAGACATGTATGACAGACGGTGCTTGAGGAAAGCTCTAAGCATCATCAAAGACCCCACACGCCCCAGCTACAGACTGTATGATCCGCTTCTATCTGGAAAACGGTACTGGAGCATTCGGGCCGGACTACTAGACTCAGAGACAGTTTTTACCCCCGCACTATCAAACTGTAAAACTCCCAGCCTCTCTCACCTACGATCTGAACCCTCACAGTGCTTTCTCTCTTTATCAGAACTCAAACACACATTGAAATCTACCTCTACTCCAGAGGGCGCCGTATAAACTGCTGACCCTGCGCTCTGACCCCCAGCTTCTCTCCCTGTCTGTGTGTCTCATGGAGAGCAAGCTGGGGTCTGCGAAAAGACAAATTCCTAAGGCAAGAAATTGTATCTGACCAATAAAGTGATCTTGTCTTATCTTAGATAAGGGACGGGAGAGCTCCCAGGAAAACCAGGCTGCTGCAGTAAGTGGTGTTGCTTGACCAGTAGGGGGTGCTCTTTCCGCGGGACTAGTATTCACAAACCAGTGCCCCGGTGTAGTGACTAGTGACCGGGGGGACGCTGTGATGTCTGACGAGCTGTCTTTCAGATGAGCCGTTAAACCGGGGTATCAGCGAACTCGTCGTGAAACATCCCAGGGCCCAGCTGGCGAGGACAGGGGTGTGAATCCTGGTGTCTCTGGGCCTGAGTGAGTAGACTTAATTCAGATGCTGAGGAATTAAGGCGGAATTATTATTATTATTATTATTATTATTATACCGCTCCAATAACTACTAGCGCCGCTTCTCACGTCGGTACTGCAGCTGTCTCTGTCCAGCCGGATCGCGGACAGCTTTGCCATCGTTAGTACTCGGCGGTGACTTGTCTGATTCATTTCCATGACTAAATACCTGCCGAGATCAGGGACAGTGGCTCCACAGGCGGCGCAGGCGCAGAGCCTCCCCGGGGGGGGCGGTTGGGGGGGCGGGGAGGGCGTGTCGGCCCCACGCCATTGGGCGAGACGCGTGGGGTTATCCGTGCCGATGGAGGGAGGCAGGTCCGGCTTTAAAGAGCTCGCCGGTGCCGTGCCGGGCTGTCTGTGCGTGTGTGCGGCTGCCGTGTAGCTCAGCAGTTTTTCTTCCCGTCTGCATGTGTTTAGTGTTGCGACAGTGTTGAGGCAGGGAGAGTGGTTCGGACGAGATGACGCCAGTCGTGCGTTTTTCGTTTTAAGTTTGTCATTGTCCTTTTTTTTTTTCTTAAAAAAGCCTCTTTTTTTTTTTTTGGAGTGTAGTGTAAGTGTGTGCGATTGGCCAGATGAAGGATCTTCTCCCGGGGATGTTTGGGCTGGAAGGAGGGTGGAATATTTCCTTCGCCGGCTGCGGATTTCTGGGGGTGTACCACATCGGGGTGGCCAGCTGCCTGCTGGAGGTCGCCCCTCACCTGATCAGGGACGCCAACAAGATCTACGGGGCGTCCGCAGGTGCCCTCACGGCTGCGGCCATCGTGAGCCGTGCTTGTTTGGGTATGTATGACTTAAAACATCATCATAGTCTTCGGGACTGGGGGGCTCCTCTCCCGTAGCCGCAGAGTTTGAGAATATCATCACAACGTCTGTCAATGGCGCGTAATTTAAAACCGATATTAGACTCTTAATCAACTTGACCAAGTGCTGTTATCCAGGGGAAAAAAAGGTTATGTGGGGATAGAGACCACTTTTCATGTGGGGTCTTAGACCCAAGAGCAGATGTGCTCACCGGACAGCCTGACGCCGCTCGCTGAGGACCGGACTCTCCGGTGTTGAGATCCAAAAGTTTGTTTCTGTGGCGACAGCAAATCCGTAAATACGGTGTAAGAAACGATGAACCGAAATGCCTTAATAAAAACGGGGCGACAGCGACGAGAGGATCCAGTTCCTCTGTTTAATCTTTTGAAGCGCACGTATCCTCTGGCTCCGCCCGTTTGCTTGGTCACAGCATCTGGCCAATCCGTGTCCGGCCAGTGTCCAAG